ATAGGGAAATATTGTAATGGATCAGCAAGTCTCGGACAAATACGTCCAAAGGGAACCTCAGCCCATACTGAAGTTGTCTTGTGTACACCCCCACATACCCCGGGGGTGGACGATGGATTCTATCGGATGCCACGGGCATTCGGCACCAATACCCATCAGCTTCAAGGATGCCGTAATGCAACTCAATTTGTTCGGCAAACCGATACTGTTCGGCATTCTCCACCCACCATGAGTAGGGGCGGTTCTTTATCATGGCCGAAGCTACTTCGGCATCCTCCCACTCTGAAAACCCGGGAAGGATATCCCAAAGGACAGCGGGAACTTCATCGTCCCGCCCAGAAGCGCTCGGCCCCTCCGTTCTCTGAGGAGGAACCGAGGAAACTAGAGTCGCCCTGATCCTTTCAGCAGGGTCAGACTCTGCTCTTTGTCCATTCCAGGTCCCAATCCTGTTCCTGGGATCGGGAATTGGCCTTGCTCTTCTTGGAGCACGGGCTCTACCCCTAAATCCTCTCGCCATTGATAATTTCGAAGAAAAAAGTCGAAAAAAAAAAGGGAAGGAGTTCAAATTCGAAGAAAAATAAACTAAAATCAAAGGAATTTACCTTAATCTGAAGCGAAAGTTGCCGATTTACGAATTGGTAGTGGCAAGTCTCAGTTTCTAAGCTTAATGCTCGGGGAATTTGCGAAGTTTTGATGCGGGTTCTTGGGTTCTCTCGAGAATTCTGGGTTTGTGTTGGTGAATAAGTGAGGAGAGATGACGCGCCTCTAATTATATCTCCAGAAATGGGAATACGGGGAGTCCGCGTTTCAATTTCTCTTAAATACCCCACTAAGTTACCGTTAAACACACGACCTTGCGATTAAACTGCCCATTATCCGTCCAACTTCCACAATTATCCGCCTTAACTGTTGTTATCTCATTAATTACGGTTTAATTACAGTTTAAATTCAAATTTTTGGATTAATTAAATCATTCACTTCCCTCCTTTTCTGATTTAATCAAACCCGACCCGTCATCCTTCCAAATCGGGTTCTGGGGGGCAAGTTGTTTGGGTCCAATTTAGTCCAATTGGGCTTAGGCATTAAATGATCCAATTAAAAGCCCAAGGTCAAGGTTCATCTCTCCAATTGTGCTAAAGTCAAAGATCAGTCCTCAAGGCAAGCCAATTGGGCTAAGGCCCAACTTCTCCATGTATGCAGAGGTATAAAAGCCATCAATATTACATTTGTACATTCATTCAAGAAAAGCCTCAAGCAATTAATTCTCTTGCATAGTGTTCTCTTTCTACGCACTGTACTGACTTTAGCATCGGAGGGGCCTTCCTCGGCAACACCCCCGAGGCTAGTTTACGTGTGTTTACTGTGCAGGAAACCTTCGGCCCAACATTACTTGGATCGAATCTAGTCTTCTCCACTTCATCGGACCTTCGACAAGGTCCCATTGTTTTCACCCGAAACAATTGCTATGAATTAAGGAAAGTATTCATTGACCAATCCCTAGGAGTAGATAGCATAATTATTTTTTTTCTTGCAAAATACCTCTTGGATGGAGTGGATCATCTTATCTACACTCGGAGATTGATTTATCATTACACTTATGAATCGCGGGGTTGAGAGTCCGTGGACTTAGGAGATAGAGAAGAAAAACTAGGATGACTATGATCATTAGTAGTACAAGTAGTCGTAGTAGTAGTATTACTCTTTGTAGGCCTGGTGATAGGCATGGAGTTGGACCTCTTCATCATCCAAGTCGATGCTTTCGATCGATGAAATCGACATCGAAACGAGCCTTGATGTGTTGTAGGAGAGCATAAGCATTGACCCCCTTTGTGGTTGATAGTTGTAACGCTTTCTCCATCAACGCTCTTAGGAGAAGTTATAGGCATTATTTGAGAAATAATTTATGGATATGTTATTTTGGTATGTGATACTATATGGTGAGATACTCTCTTGTGTTGAACAAATTGGTCTTTTTGAAGTATGAAATATATGGCGTGGTTAAGGAGGTGGGGCTTATAGTAGGGGAGGCGTTATCTACGTGCAGATTCTAAGGTCATTATAGGTATCTCACATTCTCACCCCAACTTGTATTTGCCACCACCAAAAGTTCTAGATATTGCCAAATTAATTAAAGCGATTTATTCCACGATAAACATGTAGAGTAGTATATTTTTGAACAATAATTGGGTTTTATTTAAGAAAAAAAAACATACGTTACTGAAATATATGATTAAAAAAACAATCAATTTTGAATACAGAGTAGAATTTATTAAATTATTATTCAACTGAACTCAGCAAAAGTAAAGTACGAAGTAAATGTAGGATCTAAACTTAAACTGATTAATTAATTTGTTTTATTTTTTAAAAAAAAAAGTGTTTTGATTTTTTTTTTTTTGAGAATATTTACAATTAGATATCTTGACTCTTGAAGAAGGAATTTTGGTTGTAAATGTTGTGACTTAACTCTGGAAGTAAAAATAATCTCTCTTTGGTATCCAATTAAAATAAAGTATTTTATTCATCTTTATACTTTCAATATTCATTATTCTATTTTTCTTTACAAACAAATAAGTAAATAACAAGTGAAAATATAACATTGCATAGATGTACCACTGTAGCAACAAAACTACCAACAATGATGAGTGTTCTTATTAATTAAAATCTATGTGTCAATACATTTCAATTATACATTATGAGTTTTATAATATTCAAATTGTTATGAGGTCATTGTCGTTAACCCATAAAGAAGAAATTATAGAGCAAAAGCATAGTTTATTCAATTATAGAGCAATAATAGCCTTAGTAAAGCTAACAAATCTTATTAACAAACATGAATTGAAATTATCCCTCTAATTATTCATGTATGTGCATATGACATGTTCCGACACTATCGTGTGGGTATCAATTAGCGTTTTTTTGTTAGATTTGATCGAAGAATATTCTTCTGAACATTAACCAGAGGTCTTAATTTTAATACATACATTATTACATACTTCACAAATTTAGCTTGTTTTCTTGTACCAAATTTTTGTAACAAGATAATAGAATAAATTTCAGAAAGCATATACGTAATTGTATAATTGAGAAAAAAGCCAAAAGGGATATAAGAGAGTGACAAAGCGACGTGAGTGGTAAGAAGAAGAGATTAGATGAGTTTTCATGTGAGAACCATATATATTATATATATTATGTGGTTTTTTCGTTAATTTGATTCTTCAAATTATGTGAATAATATAATTTAGTAACTAAATTCCAATATTATTCCAAAAAGTAGGGGCCCTTCGATTCCACCATGTTTAATCCACGTTATTATGATTGTAAGTTTCCTTAAGTATAGTATTTTAGTATCGAAATGACCAAGACATTATGTAAAAGGAATATGAAAAAAATGAGCATCTTTGTCATTTTAGATGTCTACATTTTTCACGTGAAGTATCAAGTCAGTCATTGACCTATCTTGTTTGGTGGAGCTAATTTGCCTAATTTTGTGTACAAGATCTAATGTTTAGAACTTGTAGGCTTCAACTTATTCAAATAAGTTCATAAATTAAATATGTTGGCTTAAGGCATAAATAAGTTATACTAATAAAAAGTTTAGAAAATAAGTTAATTTTATAAGTTAAATTCAGCAAAAATAACTTGATTAAGTGGGCAAAAAAAGTTGTATTAACTACTAAGACCTGGTTTTGTTAACCTTATTTTCACTTATTATTCCAGATTTTAAAAGTTCAGATAAGTTTAAATAAAATATAATTAGACAAATAAGTTATGATAAGGTTATTTGATACTCCGTTATAAGTAACACACAAAGACAAAAATGAGCAAGATAGTTTAAAAAACTATAAATGAGACCATATATCATTTTTGTCAAATAAATAATGTTATTCAAGTCAATAGTTGACTACATACGCAAAACAAAACAGAACAAGTGTTTATGCGTATAATATACAGTTCCATGCGGAGTACGAATAGTTCTTATTGATTTAGGATCTTACTAATTTGAATCCATCATATGTAATGATTGATCATTAATCTTGACAAAATTAAAGAAATAATTATTGGGGGAAGGATCCTTCCGTTAGACCCAACTCCCAAGAGAATTCAAAACTGAGGATATTCATCATCATGCATCATGCATGGCAGGGGTCACGGGAGCATGGGGGCTTACGACTTATCTTCAGTGCAGCCATTCAACAAACTAGTAGTGTAAAATTTTATGGCAATGTTCCAGTTTAAAGACGTTCACCATCAAATCTTTTTCAGTTAGGCGGTTATCGCATGTTAGTGTTATTATACGTATCCACCAATCTTATTGCACTCATTTCAAGCTCGCTACTATTCATACAAGCTCATAACTTATTTGTTATGAATGCGGCCAACAATTATACGGAGTACATTCTACAATGATGGTTCACATCTTCACATTATCAACATATTTGCCTACTCACATGCATCAATTTGATGGTTCGATATTCAATTTAAGGTGAACAACTTATTTGCTACCATAGTACCATAATATTAAGATCGTGACAATCATATTAACTGTGACATTAATGATAAAAATATTTCGTAATAGAAACAAAATCATGCAAATGATGCAATAACTCTAGGACATTGAGAAAATATACCAACAAAATGAGATTTTACGTAGAAATCTACGGTGAACACCTCTAATAATACAATAGGGGCTTTTTTTTTTTTTTTTTTGGTGTGTGTGCTTGTACGCACGCCTTTGAATTTGATGACAAATATGAGGCATCCTCTATTCGATGGCGGATGCAAGCCCTTGACCCCACATGAGTATAAAAAATAAAATTAAAAATTCTTATAAATTTATTTTTTTTTTCTCAATAAAATCACTTTTTTTTTTTAATCAAATAACCTCATTAAAATTCACCAAATGTATTTTGACCTCGTTAAATATTTTTTTCTGGATCCGCCACTACCTCTATTCCTCTTTTACTTCATGAGTGTGAATTTGTATTAGATTGAGCCATGAGGATAAGGCCCATTATTTCTTTCAACTGAGATTATCATAAAGCCCATGGGCCCAATCAAAGTCATATTAATAATCCTGACAGAGATTGTGTGTTTGAGTCTCAACCTAATTTGAGATTTTGTTTAAAGTGTTTATTATGTATGGTGTACCGTTTTTATTTATTTTTTGCTCTTTTTATGTATGGTGTACTTAGCCAGACTCTTGTCTGTTTAGATGAAATGACAGCTTACTTATTACAGTGTACAAAGTATTACGAAGTATAAGAGAATTAAATACGGCTTTAATTTAATGTACTCTTATAAGTTTTTTTAAATCATAGTTGAGATTCATATTATATTTCTTGTAAGTGTGTACTCAGGGCCGTAGCAAGCCAGGGCAGGTGGGGCGACCGCCCTGGGCCCCCAAATCAAAAGCCCATCTTCAAATCTAATAAAGGCCCCAAAATTATCTTTTTTTAAAAAAAAAACAAAAATTTAAAGGAAAAAAAAAAGAAACGTGAGTTTCATAGTTCAGACTTTCAGAACATTAGAAGAATTCCAAAAGCCTTCGTTGTTCATCCTCCTTCTTCCCTTATTTTTCTCCCTTATTTTTCTCCCAAAATATTCACTTTCCTAAGTGAATTTTGATTAACCCAAAAAAAATGTCATTAATTCAATTTCATCCCTTTTTGTCGACGATTTTGTTCTTCAAAACGTATCTCAAATTAATTTCCTTCTTCTTCGTGATTATGCTAAATGGTAATTTTATCCTTCAATTTATCAATTATCAACGGAAACTTATCTAATTAGATATAATTCTCTTTATATTATTGTATATTCTACTTTATTTATCATTTCTATTAACTTTTCATAATCTTTACAATTTCTTTTAATTATAAAATTTGGGGAAAATATTATCTAATTCTTTAATTGGTTGAAAGTAGAATTGGTTCGTTTGATAAAATTTCGGTTGTTCTAATTGATAAATTTCGGTTGAATTGGTTCGTTTGATAATATTTCGGTTGTTCGTTTGATAAAATTTTGATTAACTCTGATTTTTCTAATTGGGGTAATTGTTTATTTGCTTGATTTTCTAGTTTTCTACGGCCCTGATTGCTTGATTTGCTTGGAATCTTTCGACCGTCGACGAGAGCTACGGCATACGGGATCATCGTTTCATCAAAATGCTAGATTGCTAAGGTTAATTCTTAATTTCTTATTTAACTTTTTAATTTTATACTTTTTCATTCTTAAATAATCATAAATTTATAATTTTTTTTTTTTAATCTAGAGTGTTAAACTGTTAAATGATGATGATGTTGTTTTTGAGGTGATGAGTACAGAGTACTTGAATGGTCTTGATTGTGGATTTGTGGATACGAGTCGTAATATTCTTTGAGGACATTTTCGTTTTTAGTAGTACTGTAGTATATGAGTTTGTTTATAGGATAGTGTCATATATATTAATAATATTAATTGTTTTAGTCCTTTAACCGTCGACGGGAGCTAAATATTTTTGTTTCAATTGTTTTCTATTTTTCAGATTTGATTATTTGAGATGACATTGGTTTGGAGTGCAAATTGAGCGCACTAAGTCAAATAATCAGGTGTTTTTGTTCTTTTCTATACTTATTAATTTATTATTGGCTTTGTTTGATAGAATGTTGCCTAGAAAATATTTATTCGGTAATGATAAGAGGAAAAAAAGAAAACGGGCAGAAGAGTTAATAGAATCTCAAAAGGGTGCCATTGACAAATTTTTTACTAAAGTAGTACAAGTAGAAGAGTCTTCTAATGAATTGGGTGAAAATGAAAATCATGAACAATTTAAGGACAATATAAATAATGAAAATTGTGCTAATGAGGCAAATGAGCCTAATGAGGATGCGACTAATATGAATGAACCAATGAATGTACCAAATACATCCGATGTTAATGATGTTGGCATTGATCAAGTAGTCCCTCCTTTAGATATTTATGATCCTAAAAATTGGGGTAATCTTGACATTAAAGGAAGGGATATTTTGATACAAAAAGGACCTATTAGAGATTTGAACCTTGTGTTTCCCATTGATAACAAATTAAGACATTTTTCATATGCCTATTACACTAAGAAGTTGAGTAATGGTGAGACTTTTGATAGAAAATGGTTGGTTTACTCAAAATTAGCTGATAAAGTATATTGTTTTTGCTGTAAATTGTTCACATCTCAAAATAACAAAACTTTTTTAGCAAGTGATGGTATGAATGATTGGAAACATCTTGGTGAGAAACTCAAATTACATGAGAATAGTGTTGAGCATATGACTAATATGAACACTTGGTATGAAACAAGAGTGGATCTAGTGGAAAACTTTATGATGATTGTAATGGTAATTTTTTGGGCTTAATTGAAATGATAGCTGAATTTGATTTGGTAATGCAAGATCATGTTAGACGTATTCAAAGCCAAGAAATTCACAAACATTACCTTGGTCCTCAAATTCAAAATGAGCTTATTTATCTTTTATCTCATGGTGTTCGGACTTCAATGATAAAAATAATATAAGAGTCAAAATATTTTTCTGTAATCCTTGATTGTACCCTTGATGTGAGCCATCAAGAACAAATGACTTTGATAGTAAGATGTGTGAATGTATCAAGTGATAAAATCAAGATAAAAGAGTTTTTTTTAGAATTCTTAAAAGTAGATGATACTTCTGGTTTGGGACTTTTTAATGTATTGTTAGATGTATGTAAGTCCCTTGATTTGGATATTGATGATGTAAGGGGGCAAGGTTATGACAATGGCTCTAATATGAAAGGGAAACATTAAGGGGTTCAAAAGAGATTGCTTGAAATTAATCCAAGGGCTTTATATATGCCATGTGCTTGTCATAGTTTTAATCTCACTCTTTCTGATATGGCACATTCTTTTGTTAAAGCTATTTCTTTTTTTGGAATTGTACAACGTATATACACATTATTTGCACATTCCACTAAAAGGTGGAAGATTTTAGTTGACAATGTCCCGAGTTTAACTGTTAAATCTTTGTGCAATACTAGATGGGAGAGTCGAATTAAGAGTGTTAAAGCTATAAGGTTTCAATCTCCTCAAATTAGATTAGCTTTGTTGGAATTGTATAATTCTAGTGGTGATGACGCTAATATTGCTAAAACAAAAAGTGAAGCCGAAAGTTTGGCTAATTCTCTTGCAAGTTTTGAATTTTTACTTGGCATGGTAATTTGGTATGACATTTTATTTTCTATTAACATTGTGAGTAAAAAGTTGCAATCTAAATCCATGAGTATTGGAGTTGTCATGAACGAAGTGCAAGGTATGATCACATATTTTGAGAAATATAGAATTGAAGGGTTTGAATCTAGTTTAAATACTGCCAAAATCCTTGCACTTGATATGGATATAGAGCCAAAATTTCCAATAAAGCGTCGCATCACTAGAAAAAGACAATTTGATGAGAATGAGAATGACAATAATGATGAGGAAATTCAATCACCCGAGGAATCTTTTAGAGTCAATTATTTTTTGGTGGTTGTTGATATTGCAATAGCTTCTTTGAAAGATAGATTTGAGCAATTGGAGGTATTTGATAACGTTTTTGGTTTTTTATGCGATGCAAAAAGGTTGAAATCATTGGATAATGACGATTTAAGAAAATCTTGCACAAGTTTTATGACTACCTTTACTCATAATAATTTTTCGGATGTTGATGCAGATGATCTTTTTTCTGAACTGAAAGTGTTACAAATGACTTTGCCAAACGATTTGATGTCAGCATTTGAAATCCTTGAGTTTGTCAAAGCTGCAGATTGTTATCCAAATGTTTCTATTGCCTATCGAATCCTATTAACTATGCCGATGACAGTTGCATCTGCTGAAAGAAGTTTTTCGAAGTTAAAATTACTAAAGACCTACTTGAGATCTTCAATGTCACAAGAAAGGTTGAATGGTCTAGCTACTTTATGTATTGAGAAAATAATGTTAGAACATATTAATGTAGAAACTATTATTAGTGACTTTGCATCTAGAAAGGCTCGTAGAAATATTTTCATATGAACGCTTAGGCTTTCATTTCAATGTTTTATCTATATGAAATTTGATGTTTTTAAAGATTATTATGCGTAATAAAATATGTAGTTTTTTGCCTACTCAAATTTTATTTTATTTCGAAATATTTATGTGAATTAGGGCCCCGATTTATGTCTTCGCCCCGGGCCACCGAAATTTCTGAAACGGTCCTGTGTGTCCTATACATTCATGCGTACCATACATATAACCACAATGATTTATAATTCATCTATTTATTTTGGAAATTTTAAAGATAAGTGTTGGAAGTATGCCATGTACATTAAGCTGGGTGTAAAAAAAATTGTCATTTTTCGTGAATAATCCAAAAATAAAATAAAAAAATAACAACTTTAATCCTTAAGGAAGGAGAATGGGTGGAGTGTCATCAAAGGGAGAAGTATAACACGGGAACCAAATTGCCATTAATACCTGAAAAAGAAATACCAACAAAATTATCTAGCAAAAAGTGCTAATACTGCCCAACTTACTAGTCAAACCTAACAGTCTTAATTTCTCCTCTGTTCTTCCTTATTATTTTTTTAATATTATCATTTTCACAATTGTATCTAACAAAGTTTTTTCGTTTCTTCAATTTTTCTAAAATACCTGGTTTTGATCAACATGGCCACTAAGAATGTTCAAGCCAAGCTGGTAGGTATGTCTTCCCTTATTCTTAATTACCCATTACAAAATAAATTCATATGTTTAAATTAAGTTCTTTAATTTGTTACAATGATAAGGTGATTATAATCCACAATTTAGAGCATAAAGAAAAAATAGTTTTTCTCCCCACTTTCATTACAAGATTCTAAGTTTACATTATTCGCTACATTAAGGTCCTCTTAATCTATTTTTTACTGAATAGAACTGATTTTCATTCTTCTTCTTCTTATTATGCTTGAACGCCTTAATCCCATTAGTGAGGTCGGTTACATGAACCATGAGGACTTCCCGGAAGGTCACTCATCCTAGTATTACTCTCAATCATTGTGGCTCATGTCAAGCTATGTGACAATGCAAATTCATTGATTAAAATTAATTTTTGCTAATTCACTAATATTTTTTTCGTGTGAAGTTATCGATTAAAGCTTATTTTGGCTGCTTTACAATCATGGTTTTAACATTGTTGTATTCGGAACAAGATGATCACGGCCTAAGTTATATAACTTGAATGCCCACAATCCACCCCTTATTGATGATATGTTTTGTTATTGGTTTGTATGTTGCATCTTCTAATATTGTCACATGAACTTTGTTTCTTAGGATAATACTCAATTTTGTTGGTTATCTTGTAGGTGCTTCTTGGGGATATGGGAACAGGGAAAACAAGCTTAGTTTTGAGATTTGTAAAGGGCCAATTCTTCGATTGTCAGGTTAACATCTTTTAACAACTTCATACACTTGATATCGAGGAGCAATCTTTTTTGGATTTATTTGTCTGATTGCATAAGCTGCAGGAATCAACAATTGGAGCAGCATTTTTCACCGAGGTGTTGTCCTTAGATGAAGCAACTGTAAAGCTTGATATATGGGACACTGCCGGACAAGAACGGTACCAAAGCTTAGCTCCTATGTACTACCGCGGTGCAGCTGCAGCTGTCGTGGTCTATGACATTACTAGCATGGTAACAGCTTCTTCCTTCACACCTAGCACAACCTTACAGAATGAAGTTTCAATACTCGTCGAAGAGCTTGAAATTTCATTTACTTGAAATTTGTGTGATTGTACTCCATATCAGTTAAGAACAAAGCTGACAGTATGAAACCTGGTTGTTGATGCAGGAATCATTTGAGAAAGCGAAAAGATGGATTGAGGAATTGCAGAGGCAAGGTAACAGCTATGTCACTATTGCATTCCCCCTTTTTAAATAAAGCATGAAACATGGAAGTAAGATTACAAAGGTTGCACAAATGTTCAAACATCATCCCACTCCCTAAGATGCTTGAAACTGTTACTGTATTAGGTTTTTATATTGACAATCAGTTCGCTTTTCCTCACAATCAGCAAGTCCTCGCACGTTCACTGCATTGGTTGGCAACAAGGCAGACCTTGATGAGAAGAGGGAGGTCGACAACGAGGTATACTGAAATTAATCATCAGTTGCCTTATTTACTGGATTGATTTATCATCATACTCAATAATAGTCTTATCATTATAGGAAATTCCATTTCAGAACATACATTTCCCAGAACCAACTCTAGGTCAAATAGCCTCAGTGAAATTAATGGCAGCTGTTTGGAATAAAATGTCCTGATAATCACTTGCATAAATGCCTGGATTGTAAGTATTAAATCAGTGGTTCTTTTCTCGAGCCTCGTGCAAGACGAGTCATAGTTATGTACTGCTAACACGTCTCTTAAGAGGACTGTACTGCACTTGTAGTTGCAGTAAGATTAAGACATTACCAAATACGAGTACATCTATTTTTAGTTTCCATGAAAAAAGTTTTGGTTAATGAACACTGCAGGAAGATGTTAATGAGACTGATAAATGTTGCAGGTAGCTGAGGAATATGCAAAAGAAAATGGGTTGCATTTCTTTGAAACTTCAGCCAAAACTGCACAAAATGTCAATGAGCTCTTTTATAAAATAGGTTTACTTCTCCTTCCTTTCCTATCCTTTTAAGTCATTATTAAAAAAAAAAAACACACTAGCTATGAGAACAGAGTAAAAAGAGAGCACCAAAAGAACTACAGTACGATCTAAGAGCTTCATTATCTTAAATGTTTATGAAGAGATATACTCCGTATATTCTGGTTTTACAGCGGCAACATTGGCAACTTGTCCCTCACGTTCAAGTGGAATGAAAATTCAAATCAGACAAAGTCGACGAGGAATGTATTGTTGCTTCAGTTGATACAATGCTGATGTTCACTGTATGTACTCAGTCCCCTAAGAAGCTTTTTTTCGTTTATCATCAAATGTTTTGATGCTATGACCTTAAATTCACAATTCTATAGCTAGTTGTATGTCCTTGAACATGAAAAAAGAAATGCTTATTACTCCCATCACATATCTGAAAATAGTAACTAATAAAATCTTGATTTTTTTTTTTTTTTTTTTTTAAGGTTATTATCAAAAGACAGAAGCTGAAACATGCCAAGTCAGAAGGCAGAAACCTGGTGTGAAAAACAGAGCACTACCTTCACAGATATTTGTATTATGTGCATTGTGTTTTCTGAAGTCTTGTTCTCTTCCAAGCTTCATTTGTCTATAAACTTTCCTAAGTTATTCTATGAAAGCAACTCCAATCCTAGAGTAACCAAAATTTTAGATCTTCAACTAAATCCATTTCTAAATCACTGTTGTTGTCACAATATTCGAAAGTACATATATCTATATTTGTCACGCCAAATTGACATTATCAAGTTATCAACAACGGCTAGATAAAAATAAAGCACACAGGACTACAAGTTCCCATCAGCTCGGTAATTTTTGTACAAGCTAGTGGGGTGTAAAACTGTAAACTAATCAACAAAAAATTACCGTTTGCATTTACTTAACAAGTACTCCATTGCCCATACTCCATACTATTACAAAACTACAGTACATTTGTCTACTGATATTGCTAGAATTCTGTGGTTAAGGGAATCTGAAACTTCTTTCTTGGGCTCAATGCATTAGCTTTGTCCATGTCCAATATAGACAAAATGCATTGTTAATTTGTTATGCTTCCATGCCCTTGGAATCACCATACAATTAGAAACCCCATAAATAAATCATAGATAATTTTTTCATTTTTGTCATACTCTTTTATTTTTATTTATTTTTTTAATGTGAATTTTCCAAAGAACCACTTGCTCCTCACGTGCAATCTTCACAATCCCAAAACAAAATAACCCCAAAAATAAATTAAAAAAGGAACAAGAAGAGAATTCGTTTCTTAGTGATAGAATCTTTAAGCAGAGATAAAATTCTCTTTCAAAAAACATAAAGACAAGTAAAAAAGAATGTATACATACAAAAACAAACATACTGTATATAGATATAGTATGTTTCTGCTAAGACTTACGTAAAATAAATAAATCTATTTAATCAAACTACTTTCCTAAACAACAAAAGACCTCAAGACAGATAAATAAAATAGGGCAAAAGAGCTAAAGTTAGGTGAAAGGGAGGCATGGGTTCACGTGCCTTTTTCCACGCCTATTGCCATAAAAAGCACTACTTCTACTTCTACCACAAATTTACTGCCATAAGTTTACTGCATTACAGTACTACTTTACTAGTCTACTACTAACATCAACCAAGAAAAGGTAAATAAAAAGGGGAATAAAATTCACCCCTAAACTAGAGGAACAATTAGGAAATTTCTTTTTCTTTTTTTTTTTCACCTTAGAACATGAATATTCTCATAGAATAATCTTGCAACCTCTAATTTTTACCTAATTTGGGATGAAAACATAAAAATTTACCATGAAGGTGAAGTGCGAGGTGAATCTGAAGAAGAAGATGATCGACCAATATGACTGTTGGATTCACTAGCAGAAGGACCCAAAGACCTTGCATCCCTTAAAGAAACAGAAGCAGCTTTAGCAGGAAGCTCCTTCATTGGACTCAATGGCAGTGAAGATGGACTTGATGAAGTTCCAAGATTTTCACCATCCCTCTCTTCCTCATCATCCCCGGACGACCCGCTCCGGTCCAACTGGGACGGGGAGCTGTCCGGGGTCTCAAATGGGGTTGCCACTCGGCTCGGCCGGGCAACCTCATTGTCATAGATAGGATTGGAAATGTACATGAAATTCTTTTCCTTCCCATCTTCAGGTACAATTTCAGTGTTTTCGTCAGACTGTTGGTGAGGCTTGGTAACTGGGATGAAAGAAGGTGAGGGTGATAATGAAGAAGCAAGGCCAATTTGTTGAGGGGATTGAACTCTAAGAAACTGATGGAGTTTCCCATGTTTTGGCCTCTCAATATCATCACTTTCAGCTCGGTTTTCTCTCTTACTAGGTAGTTTGGGAAAGAGGAAGCTTCTAGGAGCATCTAGAACCCCTTGAGCATAGAAGCTACTAAGAGGAGAAGGGACTAACTTCTCTTGTGGCTGCTGAGGCTGGGAGACGGAGTTTTCGGGGTTCGAATCGGGTTTTCCGGCTTTGATCTTTCGTCGCCGGAGAAAAAGAGAGCAATAAAGCTCAGCTAGAAGTACCAACACTAAGAGTAGCACAATGGCAAGGACAATTACAATTGCCATTGTTGCTCCCATTATCACTTTGGAAGACCCCTTCATCTCTCTCACTTTCTAGAGTACCGTTGTAAAAATGACTGAATGATAGAAAAAAGATTAGTAGAAAGAAAGAGTAATAAATGGAGGGTTTTCATGAGATACCTTTTTTTTGGCGGGAAAGAGTACTAAGCATATGGCAGGTAAAAGAACTGGAGACTTTGGAAGACGAGTCATATAGAAGGACTCGTAGGCCATTTTCGTAGGCCTAAATGGCCTAAAGACAATGGAGGGTATAATGGCCATTTACTATCTGCAAGATGCTTCGCTAAACCTTTGTTCTGAAACTAAACAAAACACACCTTAATTTGACCAAACTGAACTACTAGTACCAACTGAACACAGCTGTAGTATAAGTGTCGCGACGTAACACTGATCTACATGTGAGTATAGTGCATAGTAATACAAACTAAAACTGCAAAGTACAGAGTAATTATCTACTTTATTAAACTATAGCGTGCAAAATTGCAAATGATAATATCAATTTTACAGGCTAAATAGTATAGTGATCGTGTAGTCAACAATGTCTTACTCTTGAATGCTCTCTATTATACAATGAATCAATGATACCGCAAATCCCAGGAAACCAAATGCACCATGATTCTCCATCCAATTTCTTTGCACATTTCTTGACCTCGATTATTCAACATAGACATCCTAAAATCTCTCGTAGCAGGAATGCTTAGTGAATGCAAGAAGCAGGTAGTAGAGTCAAGAAATGATTTGAGACTGTTACCAAAATCTTGGAGCTGTCAGCCTTTACATGCTCTTAATGCAGCAAATCTTGCAGCTAAATCATCATAATCAGGAAGCTTTGGGTGCACATGCTTTGCAGGGATCTCTGGTTGAAAGGAAGCAGCACGAGAAAACACCTTCTGCTGCTCAGGTTGGGGTACTTGGCGAGGAGGAAATGACATTGACCTAGATGTCCCTCTCCTTGGTGTTGAATCCTCCTCAGCCAAGTTAGTGCGAACTTCGGCTTTATGAGCTGGAGGCTTGTTCGCATCACTTGTTCTTTTTTTAGTTTCCCTCCTCGGCTTTCCAGGATCACTGGAAGAGGGTTTCTTGCTGTAGTGTAGCAACAGCTTGTCAACCATTCTCTCCTCGTCATCCTTTTGGTAATTGTCATCATCAAATACTATCTGGAGACCTTTTCTTGATTCATGTTTTCTCCTACTAGTGGAAACTCTCCGGAGAACTCTTTCTTCCTTTTCCCCCTCACCATTCGCTTTACCATCTTGGGAAGACCCAGATCGTGAATGCTTCCTCCGATGTCTTCGTCTAGGAGTCGATTCAACACCACTGCTTTCATCTTTGTAGTAAACTTCCGTGACACGTCCCATCCCATCCAAATTTTCATGGGCATCAGGAATATTAGGTTTGGTAAGGGGCTTTTCTGGCTTGCCAGCTGGATAGAAGGTTAAAGTGTCATTCTCTTCTGGATCAACTTTGTGCTTGCTCTTTCTTGGTTTAACATATGGAGGAGGAACACCACCCCTGAAATTCAAAGGCAACCCATCTGTTACACCCTCTTCTTTCTTTCTTGTGGATCTTACATGATTCTTTTCAGTTGGTTCATCATTAATGGAAGATGGGGAGCTTATTCCATTATTGGCTGGCCGTTGATCAGATTTTTGTTGCGACAAGACTTTTAAAAGATCTTCTTCTGGCTCATCATCCTGCCTACGTTTATCCAGCTTGTGGCTATGAACAGTTTCCAATCTTTTTCCATGAGATGAGTTACCGACCTGAATGGCTTCTTTAACACTATTATCTTCATATACGCGTCTATCAGCCTTCTGTCCTTTTCTTTGAAGATAAGTGTCATGATCCTCGCTTTTCTGGATAATGCCGTCCCTATAAGAAGGAGGCTTGTACCTGTTGTTAATGAGTTCCGGTGCTTTAGAAAGATTATACTTCAACTCATCTTTTCTTTCAGGTATAACATCTCTCCTGGCATCCATTTGATGTCTGCCATCAGTTTGTCTTTCTTTAATAGGATGAGTGGCTTCACTCTTTTTCTTCGTTAAAACTTCTTTGACAGTCCTACGGGGAGCTTCGTCAACAAAAGGTGTTGAAACTTTGACCTGAGCAACCTGGATAGTCACAGGAATCTTTTGGTGCTTCTGCAGATAATAAAATCACAAAGAAATGGTTAAGAAATAAAAAGGCAAGGTGTTGCTTTTTAAGCAGCCAGTTTTCTTGAAGTTCTGATTATCCTTGCAGCCTCACAGAAACAGCAATCTATGATTCTATGGCATAGATATATCAGAAGGAAAAGAGAAACAAATATCTCAGTTGAAATGAACATTGAGAAGATAAAGAATTACCTGCTCAGTAATGGAAGAACTAGCCATCCTCCCTTCAAAGCCCTTACTGTCCCACCTCAATGAAAATTCAGATGCTATTTCTTCCAATAATTTGATGTTTTTCTCCATAGAAGGCGGTTTCGGAGTTATATTCTCAACAAGCTGCAGCATGTAACATAATTATTAGCTGCAAAATCTAAGAAAGAAATCTGCACACATTCTGATTCAATCTGATTCGTGAATATATACCTTTTGGTTTACATAGAACTCCACAGAGTTTCCATATCTTCCCTGGAACAAGTCTCTAAGTTCACGAAGCTCAGGTAAATCCGAAAATCTGGCAGCAGCAAACATCAAGGATGCTACAGCCTCTCTACAGTCTTCAGGGCAGTCCCTGTTATAGGCAAAAAGTTTGCTACAATAAGAGTACTGAAACGGTCTATAGTGTAAAAGAAATTCTGCAAATAGATATCCCACGCATTTGTATCACAAAGAAGGGTAAAAGAAATTCTGCAAATAGATATCCCACGCATTTGTATCACAAAGAAGGGTGCCGAGGCTACATTGATTTCTTATTGTCTACAATTGAACAAAGGGAAGAATTTTCTCGAGGTACTTTCACCTAGTTCTGAGTGCACCGATCAGTTGTATCCTTTAGCATTAGAACAATATAAATCTTCTCCATAATAAATATGCAAATAACAAGCCTAAACACCCAGCACAAGTGATTTTAAACACCCAGCTCAGTGATTTTAAAACAATTACTGACTTGGCATGCTGTAAATTCTACACTATCATTTCTTCATTCAGGAATGCATGCATTATTTAATTATTTTGCGTAGTGATCTAAATTTCTGTTATGATTTTAGGCTGTGACCAAACATTACCAAACAAGGAATACGAAGTTCATCACCACAGCAGCTAAGATCAAAAAGCTGTATATCAGTTTGTGCTATCAACCGAGCTACATACAGACACACAGCATAGCATGCGAAGACCAAAGTGGAGTAATTTAAGTTCCAACACAATAGATTTCTGATAAGGCATAACAAAAGCATAACAGCAAGGAACTCCATATGTACCTTAGTTTTTGCAGAACTGGAAGGTGCTTCAAAATAATTTCACAAACATGGTCAATAAATTCATAGCATGAAGTAAGAATCAGCTCCGAAATCAAACCATCTGCCTGTTATCGTAGGAAATATAATACAAGATAGTCAGCTTCATACAAGTACGCATAAATATTAGATAAAAGCCGGGGATCTTGAAGTACAGGGACAGCCAATGATATGCGCCGCATTAAGGAATCAAGGTGATAGTAATACTAAAATGCAGTGCACAGTCAAGGTAAAACTGCAGTGATCTTTACAAAAATGTCGCACATTTTTAAACTATTTGGAGCTAATAAAACATCACATTTCCGCACAATAAAAACGCAAACAACTTCCAGATATGCCAAGTGCAACATCAAGTACCTAAAATAATAATCTATGTTACACAAAATGTCAAATTTACACAACCAGTGAGTCCAAGAACCAGAATAATACATTTCATAGCATTATTCCTACTTTTAGATTAATTTGTACTATTCAATAAGTCATGTCATATGCTATTTTCAGAGTGTCAAACATTTAACTATTGTTGGAACGAAGAGACAGAACAAGACATTTTTCGTCTAAATTTATTTCTACAACCATTATTCAACCAAAGTATAATTATATGAATATGTAGAGCAAAATTAGAAGATTAATTAGTAGCACCTCAAATGTTGACAGTCAAATTGCAAATTCAATAGAAATGAATATTTCAACTCTCGCAAAATTCAAGCAAACATGCTTTTCGGTCAAAATTAATCGACAAAATACATATATAAACAAAGGAAAAATACAATATTCTTATGCACCGACATTTCTCATCATCCAAATACTATGCACAACGGAAAAAATTCAAATAAACATTAAAAAAATTTAGCAATCATCAAAAAAACGACACAACAAAAATAGAAATAAAAATTCAAATCGTTGAGCTAAAAAACAAGAGGAAAAACAAACTCACTCTTCCATAAGCGTTCTTCTCGAGGCCATTAGCAAGCAGATCAGCAATGTCTTTCCTTAAAAACTTTTGCGTCGCATTTCTTTTCCGTCGCACAACTTCGATTCGAGTTCTCGTCTGCTTAATCAACGATTTACTGCAATTTCAATCCAAAAAACTCGAAATCAGTGAAATGAATCAAAAATCCAGAAAAAAAGGAGTTAAATTAGGTTGAAAAAGAGAAAGATCTAGGTGAGAAAGAGATTGAGCAACAAATCTAACAAACCATTTGGAGTAGAATCCACTTTTTCCGAGCAATCCGTCTAACATCGTAGTTAGCTGGTTTCGATCGTTTTCTGGAAATGGAGAGAGAAAAGAGGAGAGAGAAATGGAAATGATGAGTTGAAGAGAGAGAAAGTAGAGAGAGAAGTGAATGAAGTTCGAAAATGGAAGCAATCCTAGCAGCATCCACCACTGCTGTAGAGAAAATACTCTTTCTCTCTCTTCACTCACTCTCTCTCTCTCTTGTTTTGTTTGGGTGGAAGACAATGGACTAATCACGCTTTTGAATAGAATTTGTGTTTTCTGATTCGTGAGCTTTTATTCATTTTGTGAGGTTTCCGTAATTACCCTTGATGTTTATTCTTATGCATGCATCTGTCCTCTGTTGTTTGATGTTAGTTGTTTGATGTTGTTTTTTTAATCTTAGATGGAAAATGTATGGTCTATTCGAGTCAATTTTACTACATAGACCATAGCTAGTTTGATAATGAGTTGAGATTTTCTCAATATAGTTCGAGTGTGGATCTGAATAAAATTTATTTTGTTCGTTTATTTATATAATAATTTGGATTTGAAGAACTCATTATTTATGTTCACGAAGAAGTTTGTTTTTATTAATA